ACCATGGGGTTTCAAAGAAAGAAGATACCAAGAACTGCAGATGCTGGAGTCAGAGTTAACACAGAGTTCTGAAGAAGGGTCCCGACCTGAAACATTGACTTTCCTAAACCTCTGACACTGCCTGACCTGCTGTGTTCCTCCAGCTCCACACTGTGTTATCTCAGACTCCAGCATCGACAGTTCTTACTATCTCTGGATTTCAAAGAAGTGTCTTTTTAAAAAAAATGTTCCAGTGTACCTTTTCATTGACCTTAAAGCAAAAATTCCAGAGATTGATTGAATGATTTATTGCTGTCACATGTACCAAGATACAGTGAAAAGTGTTATTTTGTGTGCTACACAGCCAGATTGTACCGTATAAAGTCCATCAGGGTAACAGAACAGAGTGCAGAATACAGTGTTAGAGGTGCAGAGAGAGAGATCAGCATTAAAATTTGAGAGGTCCTTTTAAAATTCATATGAAACCATTGTTACACATTTTGCAATTTATATATACATCCCACCGTTTCTTGACTGATCATTTGTCAGAGAGGAGTCATGTACATGTTTATGAAATCATATGAAATGCTAAGCATAAATTATGTTGTACTAATTTAAGAGAAAAGTGAAATGACTGCCATTCGTGCTACTCTTCCAGAAATAAATAGGCTGCAGCCACTTAGTATATGGGTTCTTCTGGGGAACTGGAGGTTACTAGTGCCCACAGAAATGTTTGAGGGAAATGTGGGAAAAGAAACATTGGAATGAGATGCAAACCCATTTCATTTGACGCTGCTTATCTTGAGTTTTCTGAGGACCATGAGCTGGCTCCCAGCCTTTACATGGATTAATACTGCTTCCTTCTCCCTTTGAAATGCCCACACATCCCAGTTTTTCATGAATTGACAATTCTGCCATTCTACCAAAGGAGCCCCACTCCAGTAAACTGTTGAAACACTCAATAGCAACTGCCTTCCAAAATTTCAAGCAAAGTGCCATGTGTAAAGCAGATTTAAGTGATTTCAGACATTCATGGATCAGCAGCAATTTGAAACCTTTGAAAGTCACCAGTTCATTGGAGGTGATGCTAATCATTGGAGCAGTAAACTTTGCCCAACACTTTTGTGGAGTTCTAAGCTGTCTTAAAAGGGTAAAGAACTGCTAGTGGTATCTTACTTTAGCAATGTGTTATAGGAGCACTTTGCAAGAGTCTTCACTAAAGCAATTGCAGAGTTTTACCATTTCAGGCAACTCCAGGGTTGGCACTAAATGCTGGTCTTGCCATTAACCCCACACCCTGAGAACAAATTCAAAAGGAAGTCTGTCCGTGTACAAGTGGACATTGGCAAAGGCCTAGGACCAAGTTTTCTGTCCTCTCAATGATGGTTGAGGAAAAAAAACAAATTCTTTCTTTAGTTTCTAATGAAAATATTGTTTAGAAAACTGATGTAAATTACTTTGTGAATATTTTTTTTCAGAATTGTTCCGAAGAAGAGTCACTGGACCCAAAATGTTTATTTTGCTTTCTCTCCACAGTTGCTGCCAGATCTGAGTTTTTCCAGCAATTTCCAGCAAGTTTTTGTTTCTGATCTCCAGCATCTGCAGTTCTTCATTTTGTTTTGGTTTTGTGCATATTTTTTTTTGTGTCTTTCCCTTTTGATCTGACACTGTATTTGTTTTACTACATTCTGTCTTATGACGACTTAGGGACATGATGGTATCATGGTAATATCACTACAGTAGTAATTTAGAGCCCCGAGCTAATAGTCTGGGGATATGGGCTTGAACCCCATCATGACAGGTAGTGGAATTTGAATTCAAGAAAATCTAAAATGCAAGCAAGTCTAATGCGACCATTGGCTCATTAACGTTTTCTTAAGGTAAGAAATCTGCTGTACCTCATCTGGCCTGCATGTGACTCCAGATCCACAGTGATATAGTTGACTCTCACTGCCCTCTGAAATAGCCTAGAGAGCAAATCCAACAAATTGTGGCCATGCCGGCAGCACCTGGATCCCATACAAGAATAAAAAAAAAGTATGTATTGAAAGCTTATTATGAAATTGACATTGTTTTTTGAAAATTTGTTAGGCTACAGTGATGCCTTATAATGAAAAAGAAAATGGCCGCCATGAAAGTGATTTAGACTAAATGGATGAGGATTCGCTCCATTCATCTCCGGAACCGAGATATAAATGCAGGTCCAACCAATAGGATGAAACTCTAATGAAGGCAAAATATTATGGATGCTGGAAATCTGAAATAAAAGCAAAGTGCTGGAGAAACTCAGCAGGTCTGACATATTTGTGGGGAGAGAAGCAGAGTTAATGTTTCAGTTTTGAAAAGACTTCTTCAGAACTGAAACAGGCTGGAAAATGAGAAGAGAGTTTGTGGTGATGGGGGGGGGCCATGGAGTGGGGGGGGCGGTGGATGGTTTTGAGAGAAGCAAGTAGAACAGATTGTGAGGGTACCCAGACCAAATGACAGGGAGTGACTGTGGTGATGAAGGAGAGATAGAGATGAAAAATAAGTCTAAGAGAGAGGCAAGAGTGGACATTGGACCACCGGAAAATGAGGCTGGAGAAGTAGTAATGGGGAACAAAGAAATGGCAGAGGAACTGAATAGGTACTTTGCATCAGTTCTCACAGTGGATGACACCAGCAACATACCAGAACTTCGAGAGTCAGGGCACAGAGGTGAGTGTATTGTCCATCAGTAAGGAGAAGGTGCTGGGGAGGCTGAAAGGTCTGAAGGTGGATAAATCACCCGGATGGGATGGACTACACCCTAGTTCTGAAGAAGATTGTAGAGGCAATGGTGGTGATCTTTCAGGAATCACTGGAGTCAAGTGGGGTCCGAGAGGGCTAGAAAATGGCTAATGTAATCTGCCTGTTTGAAAAGGGAGGGAGGCAGAAGATGGGAAACTATAGGCTGGTTAGCCTGATTTTGGTCATTGGTAAGATTTTAGAGTCCGTTATTAAGGATGAGATTGTGAAGTACTTGGAAGCGCAAGGTAAAATAGAGTGGAGTCCGCATGGCTCCGTCAAAGGAGGTCATGCCTGTCAAATCTGTTAGAAATATTTGAGGAGGTAAAGATCAAGTTAGACAAAGGAGAGCCAGTGAATGTGATCGATTTGGATTTCCTTTGACAAGATGCTGCACAAGATACTGCTAAATAAGATAAGAGCCCATGGTGTTAGGAGCAATGAACTGGCATAGACAGAGGATTGGCTGACTAGCAGAAGCTAGAGAGAAGAGATGAAGGGGTCTTTTATAGAATGGCAGCCAGTAACAAGTGGAGTTCCACAGAGGTCAGTTTTGGGACCACAGCTATTCACATTATACATTAACAATCCAAATGAAGGAAGTGAGGACATGTGCTAAATTTGCTCATAACACAAAGATAGGTGGAGGAGCAGGTAGTGTTGAGGAAGTGGGGATGGACAGGCTAGGAGAGTGGGCAAGAAGTGGCAGAGTGGGAAAGTGTGACGTGTTACATTTTGGTAGGAAGAATAGAGGCATAAACTATTTTCTAAATGGGGAAAGGCTTCAGAAATCTGAAGTACAAAGGAATTTGGGTGTTCCAGCTCAGGATTCTGTTAAGGTTGACGTGCAGGTTCAGTTGGCAGTTAGGAAGGCAAATGCAATGTTGCCATTCATTTCAAGAGGGCTAGAGTACAAGAGCAGGGATATACTGCTGAGGCTGTATAAAGCTCTGGTCAGATCAGATGGAGTTCAGAAGGATGAGGGGTGATCTGACTGACACTTACAGAATACTGAGAGGCCTGCTCCTATATCGTATGGTTTTATGTCAAATAACAGGTGTGAAAAGTAGACAATGGGTCCACTCTGTTAAGAGCAAAGATGAAACTTTGTCCTTGGTTATGAAAAGTTAAACTTGGGATGTTTTAAACCAGGTTCCTAGTTGGTGCAGATTTACTACACAAGACTGAAATTTGGGTCAAAATAAGTGAAAGCTGTTGAGCTGTTGTGCATGTTGTATGTCATTAGTGCTGATTCCGAAGCATGGATCTGAGGGCCACACTTGTAAGCCAGAAGTGAAGTTTCCAGAATTTACTAATGCCAGCAATTAGGAAAACCCATTAGAGGAGCTGGCACCAGTTGTAAATGTCTTGGCTCAATCTAAAAACATCCGTAGAGAGGCTACAAGAATTAATGGTGTGGGAAATGCCAATATTACACTCCTGTTGTGAGAAATGCTTGGCTGTTGAGCTTACAGCAAATTGTTGGCCTTCCTGAAATCTGGATTGTAATGGTCATGAGCATCTCCAATTAACCACAATAGAGGAACCACAATAAAGTTCAAAATCAACTTCTGATGAAGGGTCTAGGCCCGAAACGTCAGCCTTCCTGCTCCTATGATGCTGCTTGGCCTGCTGTGTTCATCCAGCTCTACACCTTGTTATCTCAGTTTAAATCCTGTTTGAGGTGTAATGCAATTCTGGATTGGTGTTGAAAATCTCTTTACTCCATTCCTTTCCCCACAGGGAGAGGTAATGAGCTTTATGGCCTGACTGGCTAAAGCATGCAATTTAGTATTACCCAGTAAGTGCTTGATAGAGATGAACTCAAATCAACAGGAGACATTGGCTGGTTTCTTCAGGTAAGTAATTTGGGAGTCATTGTATTGTTGTGTTAATGCAGTTCTAGTTTTTTTTTGATGTTTAAGTAGGAGGAATCAATTTGTGTCATTTTGCAAACAAAAATGCGAGTACACGTTTAAAAGCAAATATACTTCCAAATATGGAACAAAGTCAGAAAATAACTGGAATATTCAACAAGTCAAGCACCATCTGTAAAGAGAAAGACATGTAATGTTTTAGACATGCCATGCCATCTGAGTGGGTAGTTAATCCCTTTTTTCCTCAACAGATGCTATGCATTTTGAGTATCTTTTTATTTTCAGTTTCCGTTTCCCTTCACAATTGAACAGCTTCTCAATACATAAATGGAATCTATCACATTGTCAAACACTGATGACCCATTTCTCTTTCTACAGTCTGAAGACCTGGGCACTTGCAGTCAGTACGAAATCGGAAGGCAGAGCCGGAACATGATGCCCAGTGCTAGCTGTGTCTTCCCCGGATTCATGCTGCGAAAGCCGTCCTCCGAGACAGATATTGAGAACTGGGCTTCCAAACACTTCAACAAGCATACACAGGGAATTTTCCGCCGTAAAGTCTCCATTGCTAACATGCTGGCTTGGAGCAGCGAGTCGATCAAGAAGCCCATGATAATGACGGCTGACCGTAATGTGAAGAAAGAAGCATGCGAAGTGTTCAAACTGATCCAAATGTACATGGGGGACCGGAGGGCCAAGGTGGACCAGGTTAACGTGGCACTAGAGATCGCCACAAAGGGTTGGAGCATGCAGGGCCTGAGGGACGAACTCTACATCCAACTGTGTCGGCAGACTACTGAAAATTTTAGATATGAGAGTCTCGCTAGGGGCTGGGAATTAATGGCCATCTGCCTGGCCTTCTTCCCTCCTACTCCCAAATTCCACTCCTACCTAGAAGGCTATATCTACAGGCACATGGATCCCGTGAATGATGCAAAAGGTAAGCCTCTGATGAATGAAACGACATCCAAGGGGGCTATATATAAATTTATGTATTTCACATGAGGACAAAAGAGAGCCCTTTTTTTGCACTTCCTTCTCTGAACTGGTTAGTCCATCAAAACATTTCACTGCTTCTTGTATGTTACATGTGTGTATACATGTTATATACATGCTACCCTGCCTTAATATTACTTATTACACACATTGTGAACTTGTGGCTGCTGGTCATGGCTTTATGTTTTTTTTAATGATACCTAGTTGTAGCAGGCAGTTCCTCCATAAAAAGTATAGCTGCTGCTAGACATGGGGCCCAGGTAACACTTAGAAGTGCATGTAGAAGTAGTAAGTGTAGAAGCTCCAGGCAGGGGTTGGGAAGGACACTGTTGAAATATTAAATGAAATACCCATACTTCCATTTTGTGAGTGTAGTTTGTGAAAAGATAGGAACAGGAAGGGGCCCATTCAATTCATTCAAGATTTATCTATATGTCCACTCCATCAATCTGCCTTAATCAATTCACACCCTTATCCATCAAATATCTTGCCTTACCCTTATCTAATAAAGATGTTTAATCTCAATTTTGAAATTCTCAATCACCACCAGAATTTTTTTGAGGAAGTTGGGGAGAACATGGAGATTTCTTGATTTTCCCTACCCTTTCCTGACATCACCCCCTGAAATGACAAGCTCTAATTTTAAAGGACTAACTGTTGGTTTACCACTCCACCAGAAGAAATCTCCCAATCTGCCCTATCACAAACTTTCATGGCCATAAGTACCACAAGTAGATCACCCCTACAATTTCTTTGAGTCTGTTACAGGTTTTGGTATTGATATGCTGGAGTGTATAACATATTCAAAATATAAATTAATAGTTTAACAATAGAAAAAACAGATTTCTGATTCTGTTTAGTCTTAACTTTGATCAGTGAAATATCATTCAGTAATACCTGTGGCTTTCGGTATTGAGTCTCCTCGTCAACCTTAGATTTCTGCTAAAGAAAAGGAGTCACCTTGTAAATCTGTTCAGAATTTCATGAAGATACAATTGAAGATAGACAACACTGTAGAAGTAGAAGGTTTTATGACAATCTCACCAGAACAGGTCTACAGTTAAACCATCTGTCTAGCCCTTCTTTAAAACTAATTCTGGCCTCAGGCTATTTGCATTTGTAATTTTAATTGCTTATCTAGTATATAGTGTAAGGACAAAGAGGACTGTATTTAGTAGAGTTGTAATCCCAACACGTTATTGGCCATAACTCACTGATGATGAATTAACAAGACAGGCCACTATTGAACTATAAATCATACAGCTCACTGCTATCACTATTCCTCATATACATTCTACTGGTACCACTCTCAGAGGGCGATAGATAGCTGAAAAGTTTTTTTTGTTCTGTCACCATTTAAATAATTCATCCAAGTGTATAAAGCAAGTATGATTTTCTACTCAGTCTCTAGAATTTGCCTCTATTGATGCTGCATAAGGTGGTTTAAGTAATTGATCTTGATACTGGTCTATATATCTGTCTCTTTGGTACTTTATGACCACCAAGTTCAAAAATGCTAGTGCTGAGGAATGCAGCGATTTTGATGCACCGTGTTCTCTTAGTATCACTTCCTTTCCCAGCAAAGTACAACTAAAATGTTTGTGTCATTACCTCCCAAAGCATTGGTCCCATTCAGTCTGAGAGAACAATGTGAAGATGGGTCCTACCAAATTTGATATATTTACCTTCAAGACTGTGATTGACATCTTTTATCGGTCAGGGTATCAAGTGACATGGATCAATGTGGGTACTTTGAGGGGAGGTACCAGCCAGTTGTGATCTGATTAAATGTTGAAGTACAAAATAGCCTTCTCTTGTTCCTGTGTTTCTGTGATTGATATCAGCTGTGTGAAACCTATTCTGGAACCTGACAGCATCAACATCCCACTGACACCAATGTGAAAGGGCCTTTGGTCAGAGAGCAGCAGCCTTCAGTTGTACTCCTCCAGCATACCTCGGAGTGTGATTTACGAGAGAACATTTCCTTCACTAGGCATCATGTCTGAGTGATACTGGCAAATAGTGCCAAACACGAGCTGGTTTTGGGCAGTAGTACCTACACCCACAAGGAATTAGACTTATCTTCTTCCTAAGTTATTCTAGGCTTATATCAGAGGTGAAGTGACGGTGACAGCCCTTTATATTGAGGCCACATTTTACTGAGTGTGGCATCAAGGAGCCCTAGAAAATTAGCATCAGTGGGAATCGGGACAATCTGTCCATTGGTTGGAGTTATTACACCTGGCACAAAGGAAGATGATTGTGGTCATTGGAGGGCAGCCATCTCCATTCCAGGACATCTCTGAAGGAGGTCCAACCATCTTCAGCTGCTTCATCAAAGACCTTCATCATAGGATCAGACATGAGGATGTTCGCCGATGATTGCACAGTGTTCTGCATCATTTGTGACTCTACCGTGCAGTCCATATCCAAATGCAACAAGATCTGGACAGTATTCAGGCTTGGGCTGATAAGTGGGAAGTAACATTCACACAACCAGGCACCAGGCAATGACTGTCTCCAATAAGAGGGAATCTAACCACCTCTTGTTGATATTAAATAGTGTTACCATCACTGAATCTCCCAGAATCAACATTCTGGCAATTCCTGTTGGCTAGAAACTCAACTGGACTCACCATATAAATACAGTGGCCACAAGATCAGGTCAGAGACTGTGAATACTGTGGCGAGTAACTCACTTCCTGACTTCCACCTACAAGGCACAAGCCAGGAGTGTGATGGAATACTCTCCACTTGCTTGACTGGAATGCAGCTCCATCAACACTCAAGAAGCTTGACACCATCCAGCATAAAGCAGTGCGCTTTATTGGCACCACATGCACAAGCATCCATTCTCTCCACTACCGATGCTTGGTAGCAGCAGGGTGTACCATTTGTACAATGCAGTGCAGAAATTCACCAAAGGTTCTTAGATAGCCTGTTCCAAACTCTCAATTGCTTCCATTGAGAAGGACAAGGGCAGCAGATATATGGGAACACCAGCCTCTTCAAGTTCCCCTCCAAGCCACTCACCATCCTGACTTAGAAATATATCACCATTCCTTCACTATTGCTGAGTCAAAATCCTGGAATTTCCTCCCTAACAGCACTGTGGATCTATTTAGAGAACATGAACTGCAGTGGTTCAAGAAGGCTGCTCACCACCAGCTTCTCAAGGGTAACAATGGTTGGGCAATAAATGCTGGCTCAGCCAGCGACACCCACATGCCACGAGTGAATTAAAAAAAAACACTCTGCCCAACCCTCCACAATAAATTATTAAAAATTTGCTGTTTGGATAGGAACTGAGATGAGGGGCTGTAAGGGGTTGCTGTGTATTTACTGATTTTATACCAGTTCTAAAAGATTAAAGAGAATTGTAATACATTTATTCTTTCGTGCAGATAGTCATACAGTATTTGCAGGTGCAGATTTGGACAACAGCCAACTCTGTAAGAGGGCTGGGAATGGGAGAGATCAATCCTTAAAGGCATTGGAATAATTTGAACAAATTCTCATTTCCATTCGAGATAGTAGGAACTGCAGATGCTGGAAAATCTGAGATAACAACGTGTAGAGCTGGATGAACACAGCAGGCCAAGCACCATCATAGGAGCAGGAAGGCTGATGTTTCGGGCCTAGACCCTTCATCAGAAAATGAAGCTGCTTGGCCTGCTGTGTTCATCCAGCTCTACACCTTGTTTTCTCATTTCCATTGACTGCTTTTCACAAGAGAAAGGAGCAGGAGTAGACCATGAGAGATAGTAAGAACTGCCGATGCTGGAGTCAGAGATAACACAGTGTGGAGCTGGAGGAACACAGCAGGCCAGGCAGCATCAGAGGAGCAGGAAAGTTGACGTTTCAGATCGGGACCCTTCTTCAGAAATGGCCTGTCAAGCCCGCTCTGCCATGTAATACAATCATGTCTGATCTTGGGCCTCCTCTTCCCTGCCCGCTATTCTCCAATAAGAGACAATCAAACCGATACCTCTTATTACATTGCCATCACTGAATCACCGACTATGAATATCCTGCAGTTACCATTAACCACAAATTCAACTGGATGTGCCATATAAGTAAAGTGGCTACAAGAGCCAGTCAGAGCATAAGAAAACTGCAGCAAGTAACTCACCTTCTAACACCCCAAATCTTGGCCACCATCTACAAAGCACAAGTCAGGCACAATTCCCCACTTGCCAGGATGAATACAATTTCAGCAACTCACATGAAGTTTGATACCATCCAGGACAAAGCAGCCCACTTGATCCAAGGAAAGCGACCACAGACTATCCAAGACAAAAACAGAAATTGCTGGAAAACTCAGCAAGTGAATGAACATCCTTTATTGTCATGTGCATTCAATATAAAATACAGTGAAAAGTGTGTACTGTCGTTCGTACATAACCGCCATTCACAGAATAAAATGAAAAAGATAATTTAAAGAGAGCCCAACTGTTCCTTCTCTGCTGCTACAGCATACTGCTGCAGGGAGTGTCCTGCTCCAGACTTTCCAGGCCATGCCATGCTGCAGAGAGTGTCCCGCTCCAGGCTTTCCAGGCCACGCCGAGCTGCAGAGAGTGTCCCGCTCCAGGCTTTCCAGCCCACGCCATGCTGCAGAGAGTGTCCCGCTCCAGGCTTTCCAGCACACGCCAAGCTGCAGAGAGTGTCCCGCTCCAGGCTTTTCAGCCCACGCCATGCTGCAGAGAGTGTCCCGCTCTGGCCTTTCGAGCCCACGCCATGCTGCAGAGAGTGTCCTGCTCCAGGCTTTCCAGGCCACGCCATGCTGCAGAGAATGACCTGCTCCAGGCTTTCCAGGCCACGCCATGCTGCAGAGAGTGTCCTGCTCCAGGCTTTCCAGCCCACACCATGCTGCAGAGAGTGTCCCGCTCTGGCCTTTCCAGCCCACGCCATGCTGCAGAGAGTGTCCCGCTCCAGGCTTTCCAG